TTAAAGCCATTCGCTGCGATAATGCTCCAGGGCTGAATCTTACATCTTTTTTTCTCTTCCAAAGGTATTCAGGTTTCTCATTCCTATGTTGATCGCCCACAACAGAACTCTGTTCTTGAGCAAAATCATCAACATATTTTAAATGTTGCTCATGCTTTGCATTTCCAGTCCAATATCCCCATTGTTTACTGGTCTGAATGTGTTCTTACTGCAATTTATTTAATCAACAGAACCTATTCTCCTCTTTATGTGGTAAGACTCCTTTTGAGCTTCTCTCTCACAAATCTCCTAACTACTCTCATTTACGTCTATTTCAGTTCTACTCTTCCTAAGCAGCATCATAAATTTTCCCCCCGTGCTATTCCTTGTGTATTCCTTGGCTATCCTCTTAGTTATAAGGCCTACAAGCTTCTTGACATTGAGTCCAATCAAATTTTTAATTCTCGTCATGTTATTTTTCATGAAACAATGTTTCCTTTTACTAAATCCCCCGTGCATTATCTCCTCTGAATTCTATTCCAAATAAGTCACTCACCACTGCTGCTCCCTCGTTACCAACTCAATCTTCCCGCATCAGATAACCCCCTCCTCACTTAAAGGATTATGTTTGCCAAACCTCTACAAAACACCCAATCTCCTCTCATATTTCTTCTGACAGACTTTCCCCAACCCACAAAGCCTTCATTAATACCATATCCACACATTATCAACCTTCTTCATTCTCTGATGCTTCCTAACTTCCTGAATGGCATGCTGCCATGGCTACTGAAATTGATGCTTTGGAACAGAACTGCACTTGGAGAGTTGTTTCCCTACCCACCGGTAAGCACCTTGTTGGCTGTAAATGGGTCTACCACATTAAACTTTGTTCAGATGGTTCCCTTCAACGATACAAGGCACGCTTAGTTGCCCAAGGCTATACACAGCAAGAAGGTATCGATTTTAATGAAACATTTTCTCCTGTAGCCAAAATAACCATTGTCCGTACATTGCTTGCTTTTGCTGCAATCTCCAACTGGCATTTGATCTAATTGGATGTCAATAACGCATTTCTACATGGCGATTTGAATGAAGATGTATACATGCATCTTCCTTCCGGATATACTCCACAGGGGGAGTCTTTACCTCTCAATGTTGTATGTCACTTAACAAAGTCCATTTATTGATTGAAACAAGCTTCACGTCAATGGCTTTCCAAGTTCTCTTCAACTTTTCTTTCTCTTGGATTTTCTCAATCCCATGTTGATCGCTCTTTGTTTATCCGAAGCTCACCTGATTGCTTTATGGCTATTTTATTCTATGGTGACGATATTATTGTGGCTTCTAACAATTTTGCTCATGTGCAGCATCTGACTGATTCATTAAATAACACTTTTAAGCTAAAGAATCTTGGTTCTTCGAAATATTTTTTGGGTATTGAAGTTGCAAGATCATCTGCTGGTATTTCCTTATACCAACGCCAGTATACTCTTTCTCTCCTTCAAGATTCTGGCTATCTTGGCAGTAAGCCTCGTTCCAGACCTATGGAACCCAATCTCTATCTATCTGCTTCTGAAGGCCCTCTCTTGGACGATCCCACTTCCTGCCGTAGGTTAATTGGTCGCCTTCTTTAATTGACCATAACCAGACCTGACATCTGTTTTGCATTCAACCATTTAAGTCAATTTATGTCTGCTCCTCGCCAGCCACATCTCCAGGCTGCTCAGCGCATTCTTGGGTATCTAAAGTCCATTGTTGGACAGGGTATATTTTTTTCTTCAAAGTCTTCCCTTAGGCTGCATCCTTTTTGTGACTCAGATTGGGCTTCTTGCCCGAACAGCCGCAGATCTGTTTCTGGCTTCTGTGTGTTTCTTGGACAATCTCTCATTTCCTGGAAGTCCAAGAAACAAAGTACTATTGCTCGCTCCTTGTAACGCCTGGCAACTTGCAAGGATCAACGACTGTCCCCACACACTAACATGAGACTTTTCAGCGTGTTTTGTCCTCACTCGCACACTTCCCGGAAAAATTTCTCAGGAGGTCACCCATCCCAGAATTGCCCCAAGTCAAGCACGCTTAACTATGAAGTTCTTCCGTTCCAGGCTACCGAAAAAAAGATGCATCTCATACCAGCACAGTCTCTGGAATCCCTCTCTTTCGGGTGTTGATTCGATTCATTCATGTACCCCCGTCGCTGGAAGCCTGCCAGGAGCCGCTCCTTGTCCATGCCCTTTCGCACCGGCGATCACTCCTCGCTCTCGTCAGCGCCCAGGATGTTACACTCCTCAGTTGAGGCTGAGTATCGTTCCATGGCAAATGTCACATGTGAATTGTTATGGCTTTTCTCTCTGCTCACTGATTTGCAGGTTCCTAATTCAACTCTGGCACACCTTTTTTGTGACAACCAAGCTGCTCTTCATATTGTAGCCAATCCTGTTTTTCATGAACATACAAAGCGCATAGAAATTGATTGCCACATTGTTCGTGATCAGCTCACTCAAGGACGTTTACTTGTTTTCCCAGTACCTAGCTCTCAACAACTTGCAGATTTGATGACCAAGGCTCTTCACCCTGCTCCATTGGCTCATCTGTTGTTCAAGATGGGTGTTCTCAACATTCACTCTCCATCTTGAGGGGAGGTGTTAAAATATATTGTATTTAATTTTTTTTTATTTCTAGTAGATAATATTTTAGTGCCATGTCATTTTTACTTTGTTGCAACTGTTTTCTGTTTTAGCCTTGTTGTATCAATTTTTCTGTTTTGGCCTTACTGCATCAGGTGGTTAGTCTAGCACCTTGCATTTTTCGTTTTAGGCTCTGTATATAAGTCAGCACTATTCATTGCTGATGACACTCAGAAATGAATGAATATTTTCCATCCATAGATTCTCTGTATCATTTCTAATAAAACACTTGGTGGTTGGAAAGGAAAATGCTTAGAATCTTCATGTGTAAAACCCTCTTGTCATTTTGAGTTGGGGAGCCTTGGTGTTAGAGATATCTCCATGGAAAGTTTTGATTGATTTTGTGTTTTGGTGAAATAGAGGTGTTCTAACACCATAGCAGCTTGGAAAAGCATCACCACTCCACTCTAGGTTGATATATGGTGAGTTTGCACAACTTATTTCATGTTTTTGTGAAGATTCTTCAGAGTTGGGTTTTCATTAATAGTGCTAGGCAAAAATCATGAGTTGATGGTGTTTGAGTGTGGTTTAGACTTGGTTTATGTTGGAAAGTATGCTTGGGAACATAAATGAACGGTGAAAATGTGTAGAAATAGTCATTTGGACCATCTTCATTATTTTCGAAAATTTCATGTATCAAGTGTTGGATTACTTGTGTTTCAAGTAATGTGGCATGGATTAATGATGGGAATTGTGTTCATTTGTAATCTGGGATTGAATCAAGTTGACAAATGATGAGAAATCACTCATTGGATGAGCCAATGAATATTGACATTGAATCTTGAAGTATTCAAAAATTGGTGAGTATCAAACTTTGGTTTGATGAGATTGAATTCTTATATTGTTGACTTTACTTGATAAAGCAAGATTCATCATATGTTATAAAGCTGGGGCTACACATATATACGTGCTTTAAAGAAGATATAGCTGAATAGATTGTTATTTGATGTTGTTCTTCCTTTTTAACTTGTTCAATTGAGTTCACTTATTGTTGATACTCTTTGCTAGGTATTTGATCTCTTTGATGAAAAAAAAATGGTGTTGTAGAATTTGAGGAGTTTGTGCGTGCGGTAGGTGTCTTTCATTCTTGTGCTCCTCTGGAAACGGAAATTGATTGTAAGACGTCATTAAGTTTTTTGCAGTTGTACTTATTTTATCCATTTTAATGCTATTTATAGTAATAAAATATATATTGTCTTTCTTTTTTGGTTTGCTTGCAGATGCTTTTTGATTGTATGACTTGAGACAGAAAGGATATATTGAGCGGGAAGAGGTGAGTATCTTGGCATGTCCAGGTTTTGAAGATCTTATTGGCTTAACTTTTTTCTTTATCATAGAACAATAATGCATGATGACAATGTTGCCGAATATATAGAATTCTATCATTCAGTAACAGTTTGATTTGACAATTTCAAAAAGTAATGTGGTGGTGTTGATTTCTGTTTGTCAAATCCATGAAAGATCATATGCCATTGAATGATATATTAAACTCATAAAATAACCATGGGGCTGTCTGATATTTTATATAATTTATTTGCTTGCACACTTTTCGATTTATTAATGTTTGCAACTGTTTTGTCAACCTGCAAATTTTTCCAGGTTAGCCAAATGGTGGTTGCGATTTTGTCAGAGTCCGGCATTCATCTGGAAGATGAAGTTCTCAAAACCATTATTGATAAGGCAAATTTTTGCAGTAACATTTTTTTTTTTGGCTTCTGCTTTTATTTGATCTTGGATTCATACTTTTATCACAAATATAATTTTTGTTAGAGAAGACAAGGATGGCAAGATAAGTAAAGAAGAATTGAGGGCATGAAACTGGGTGATTTAAATGTGAATCGCTGTTTTTTCAGCTAGCCATATCTTTCTCTTTGTTTGGATCTTCATTCATTACCTCAATAACAATGAATGAAATCATCTTTTTACATTTCTTATCTTCATTAACATCTCTGTTGTGCATGAAATTTTATGAAGGGTCTTCGTCACTCAAGTTCAATTCATTAGGTTGTTATACAGAATTACTGTCTAGCAGTTTATATCCTCCTCCACCTTTCTTCTAACATGATATATAGTTAAAGATTACATCAACATATGCATATTTTGTTTGAACATGCAATTCAAACAGAAAAAAATTTTGTAAGCCAAGATTGAATCTTTGAACATGCAATTCCTCAACTTCTCCCAACGTATATGCCACTAAGTCTATGTTGCTGTCATTATAAAATAGCGCGTAGGTGCAGGATAATTGAATGCTTCAACGCGGGCATTTAACGTATTTATTTCTGTATTGCTATCTGTCTAATAATATAATGATTTAAGTGAAAAAAAATTGACATTTATCAATGGACTGAATGGAGAAAGTTGCCAAGACGGACCTGCTCTAAAAGAAAAGAAAAAACGGTGACATTAAATTTGGTAACCAGTTCATGCTAAACTGAAATTCCTTTGATGTATCAATATACTTCAATACTTCCATCAAAGCATTACTTGTGTACGGCTTTGGCTTAGTTTCAGACTGGCTTTGAATCTCAACATGAACATCCTTCAAGTAATGTCTCCAGCATCTGAAACCAGTTTCATCTTCACAGCAGGCAGGGTTTTCTTCTCTTTCAAGTAATTCATGACAAAGGAACTGCAAGTTCATAAAAATTAAACACAGTTACATCAGAAGCTACCGAAAACTGATGTATTTAATTGATTTCCCCTCTAGTATAATAAATTATTGTAACCTTCCTTTTAAAAAATCCTTCTGCACAATTCTATACATGCGAAAAACATATATATATATATATATATATATATATACATATATACATATATATATAGGGATAGATTATTCTATCTATCATTTTTTCTGCCTACCATTGTCTACCACCCTCCAACATCGTTAGATCAGAATCTCAAGAAGAGAGAGAAAGATAAATGTTAGTTAACTTTATCAATATACTCTTTCTTCTTCACATTTATCGCCACCCCATAACATAATGGAGAATAGCTAATAATAAGGACTCCCCTAAAAAAAATGGGTAATAAAAAACCGAACATTGTGGGGTTTTATCATGAATCCACTTGTTTTATATGACTTATTACTACCCCTTTCTTTCTTTGGTATTTGGGGGCATGGATCAAGTGTTCATTCGAATTGGCAGTGGATTCTTTCGCTTTCTTATTTTATTAGGTTTCTGTTTTCTTTCTAAATTAAAGATTATTATCATAAAGATTATTATCATATAGGGTTTGACGAAACGAATGATAATGAGGTGAAGCTGAGTTCAAACTTGGTAGTTAAACTCTACTGCGGTGACGATACTGTAGGGGTGGTCCTTTCTTATTCGTTTTTCAATATGAAAAACAAATAAGAATGAAAAAATTTATATATATATATATATATATATATATATATATATATATATATTATATATATATACACATGCAGAATGAGGTAACTAAATTTTCTTACAACTTCAAATCAAGCCAACGTAATTTTAAGTTTTAACAGATTTCAATTGAGGTCAACATATTTTGTTCAATATTTTAGTCTGTGTTTACTCTAAAAAATGAAATTGGTTTTCATATTACCTTTATGAATTCCCTGTTTCTGGGAAGTGTTTCTACACGTAGAATAGCTGGATGACAACTGCAAAGTGATCCATCTAAAAGGTATGGATAAGCATATGCAGGAGTTAATGAGCCAAGAGACCACTTCAGGAATTTAACTTTGGGAGGTGGAGAATCAAATTGTACTTGTTGTACTTGCCCTGGCCAGAGAATCTCCTGTGCTTTGAAACACTAGTTGAAAAACCAAAAAATTAAGAACACTCGAATATTCACAAACTTCAAATAAGACATCAACATAAATACATAATATATAATTTTGTGAAAGTATACCTGTCCATAAAGATAACTTAAATGCACCATTGGTTGGTTGAACATCTCAATACAACTCCTCACAGCAACATCAAGACCAGGGCGACCTCCAAGAAGTAGTTTGAGTGTGACAGATGGTTTTACAAGAGATTCCATACCATTAAAAGTTGGAATAACATAACCTTCATAATTGAGCTGCTCAAGTTTTTGGGCATCAACCTCAATCTCCAGTGGTCTTTCATGACCCTTGTTTGACAAGGACATATTTCTAAGATGAGAACACGCAACCTTTATCCTAGTACATATGTAGAAGCACAGGTCCAAAATCTCCAAACGGGGATGTTCAAAAACAAATTTTGATCCGTATTTACTAGACCATGTGACACAATCAGAAACATACACATTAACTGACCCATTTAATCGTAAGATGAGGGTACGAAGATTTGGTGCTTCAATCACAAGCCTTTCATCAAGTTTTTGTTCAACTTCAACATAAATAAGCCGGGGAAGGTTGCAAATTCTAAGGGATCCCATCCTACCAATTTCTTTGAAAACAACTTTCTCAAGTAACGGGGAGAAAGATAGGATCTTCTCAACAATATAACTACTTGCTTCAACCCTCAACAAAGCTAGCTCTTTAAGGCAATTAAATGGTGCATGATCAATAGGAAATGATGATTCTCTACGGATAGAACAGCCCTCTATATGTAATGTGAGTAAGTATTTTGAAGAAAAAATTACCAGAGGCAGAGTGTACATTATGTTTGAAAGAACTAGTTTCAAATGTTTGACACAGTTTTTCAGAACCAAATTGATCCAATCATTGATGAAATCAATAATAGTCATGCAGTGCATACCATTGTTGTAAAAGGGGTGTCTTACTTCAACCAAGTTCAAGTCCAATATGAAGCTATGAATGATTGCCTTTTCCTCTAGGGATCGTAGTGTGGACAATGAATCATCAACCCAAGACATGAACTCTTCGAGACTCTGACTCTGAGTATTCTCATTGAAGGAGAATTGCAACACAGAGAGTGAATTCCAAAGGTTACGCCAATTCTTTGAGACAGTGCTCATGCGGGCAGCATCAGCTGTTGGTAAGAATAGAAGGATGTGCTGCAAAATGGGGTCTGGCAACTTTGTTATCATATCACCATCACTCTCATTGATATCTTCATCATCCTTTTGACACCCCAATGACCCTTCCACCATTCTTTTCATTGGAATCACAATGTTGAGATCACAAGAAAAGGGTTCTCTCCCTTTATATCTTTGGTTGTTCCCACTAATTGGCAAGTTGGTTTCAATTAAGTAGATAAAGCTCACAAGAAAACGGAAAAAGGGGAAGACGAAACAAAAAAGTAAAATCGATCCTCAACACCCAAAACCATTATGGTGGTTATATTATAAGCAAGAAGAATACGAGAAATTAGAACAAGAGGACACACACACGGAGAAAACCGGCGGCGGAAGGAAATATATATTTTAATGGTTCAGTGTTTGTCAAGGAAGTAAGTTATGTCATTTTAAGAGAGAGATAGACACAAAAAAAGTGAGTAGTTTTTTTTAATTTAAAATTCAAATTTTTTGTATCTGTATCTGTATCTCTCTCAAAATAATATATTTTTCTGTTATTTAAAATGACAAACATTTTTCTCATATTTTAAACAAATAATGTTTATCTTTGTGCATTAGGGAAAATTATTTATGCTGTCAAATAGATATAAAATTGTCTATAATGAGTTTAAAATGAGTAGTTTTGGGTTATAAAATTATGAAATTATAATGATAAAGATTAATATAACTGTAATATATTAAAATTATAAAAATATTTTACTTTATATTCAAAATAATGTAATTTTGAATTTAAGCAAGATAAGTTGATAACTTATCTTTATCCTTAGTATTACTAGCAATTGCTATTAAATTAGAATCGCACCGCCCCAGCAACCGATTTAATTGGAAACTGTTGGGATATATACTTTAAAACTTTTATCTGCGGTTTTAAGTTTCAAATATTTACTCTGAAGCACAAATCTCATATTTAAATGCTTGATTTTTTTTTTCCGTTTCAAATTATTGTAAACTAAATTCTCCAGAACTGTTACGATTTTTTTAATGATTATTATCTTTTCTCTAATATAACTAATTTATCTCCACACTTAATTGGTACTGTTGGATTGGGAATTAATCTTATAAAAGTCTACTTAATGGCGAGTGTGACACTATGAAGAAATTTAGGTGGTACGAATATTGCATTTAATCCGGCCCCTTATGAATATAATTAACTGAAATAATAATTTACATATTAAAATAATTAAAATAATGAAGGATAGCTAACAAAGTTTAATTCTAATACATATTAATACAAAATTTGTTTATATTGTCATTCCTTCTTGTGTTAACATCTTATTTATGATTTTAACTAGGTTAACAAAACTAAATATTAACTTTATCAAATGATATGGCAACACATTATGCATAACACTTCATCTTTGATCTCAGAAAAGTCTCAGTGTTTTAATTATAAAAACCATAAAAAGGAAGAGCAAAGGAAGGACGATGGTTCATAATTTAGACACCTGGGCCAAAACCGACATGAATAGACAAAATAAATACGGTGTTATTTAATAAAATATAATTTTAACTGAGACAAACAAGTAATTTCAAATGGTATTACTATTTAAAAAAAGGCTTAGGAGTATTTCTTATTATAAAACAAATCTTAAAGTTTTTCCTATAGTTTCATGATTTAGATATTTACTAAAAGCTCAAGTCTCACCTTTAAATGCTTGAAAGGTTTTTTTTAAGATAAGATATTGAAAAAAATATTTCTGCAGTTACTGCATTTATTCCCAAAACGACATTTTGTTATTGAAATCTTAAAAAATTATAAATATAAAGACTATTATAACCCTGAAATAAATTAAAATTACAAAAATACCATGATTTTTACCCAAAACGATGTCGTATTAGGCTTATTGCATATAACTTATCTATAATAACTGCAGGAAAAACAAACCCATTAAAAAAATCCTCAAGTTGTTGCGAGACTAAATTCTCAAGAACTGTTACCATTAAAAAAATCCCTTTAATAATTTTTTTAATATTTGAACTTTAATCTTATTTTTTAAAAAAATTCATCCTAGATTAATTTGATTTGAATTAGGCACTACAAGAAGACTAACAAAACTCTCGCGATCAAATATTTAATACAACTATGTACCAAGACTCAAATTCGATACTACTACAACAAACTCCAGTTTATCACCACACTTGATTGTTTATGCCTGGGCTAGTTAATTCGCTGAATGGGGATTAATCTTACAAAAGTCTACTTCATAGCGCGCGTATGTACGTACATTTGACAAAATTTGGGTGGTACGAAGATTACATTTCATTCGGACCATTATGAATATAATTAATTGAAATAATAATTTATATAGTAAAATAATTAAAACGATGAAAGATAAGCTAACTAAGTTTAACACTAATACAATATTAATATAAAATTTGTTTATATTATCAGCCCATCTAGTCTAATAAATCTAACTATGTTAACAAATGTATAAATATTAACTTTATCGAATGATGTGACAACACATAATTATATATACGAATTTTATTTTATTTTTAACATTGATAAGCAACAAAATTAAATTATAGTAAAAATATGATTTCTTTTGGGAATAGGTTATTCTACCTATTATTTTTTCTGCCTACCTTTACCTACCGCCTTTTAATACCGTTAGATCATAATCTCAATAAGAAAGAGAAATGAAAAATGTAATTGAAATTCTAATCTAACGGTGTTATAAGATGATAGGCAAAAGTAGGCAGAAAAAATGATAAGTAAAATAACCTATCTCTTCTTTTTTGTATAATAAACGAATATCTAGCCCAATCACAACTAAATCACAATCACAAGATCAAAAGCAACACCAGTACAATCAATCATAAAGGAATCGGAAAATGTAAACATAAAGGGGAAGTGAATCTAAAATTAGAAACCAGTAGCAGAACCATGACCAACCCAGCTAAACCCTAAAAGTATGCTGGTAAATAGCCTCTCAACTCCTGCTGAGAAGCTCTTTGATCATAACCAAGATACGCCAAGGAGGACCACTCGAATGATGACCTCGAGTCCTTTGCCATATTAATTAAGGGAAATATTTTTCTCATGTTGCAACACATAAAAAAGTGAGTGAGACCCACTAAAATGAAGAGAGAGAAAAGAAAAAAGTGAGTCCTACTCACTTTTTGTATGTTGCATGAGACAAATGTTGCATGAGACAATTTGTTTCATGCAACATAAAAAAAACATATCCCATTAATTAATCGGTTATTTGAGTACTGTTGGATACATTCATTCCCAATTCAATGTGATGTGTATAGGGTTCACATCGATTTTATTCTACACATCTAAATATAATTTAATAACATCACAGACAATTAGAAGAAATAAAAGGCGTGCAAACAATTGTTAACACAACTATTTACAGGTTTAAAGCCAAAACCTGATGGTAAAAAAACGAGGGTAGAAGAGGCTTTGCCTGGCTCGGCTTTGAAAATTTGTAGTGTGTGCGAAGAAACAATATTAAGTTTGAGGACTGAACTGAACAATTCGTCAAGATATCTTACCGAGGCATCCCTTATTTCACAAAACGGCATGCAACATTTCAAGCAGGGATTCACGATCCATCTAGCAAACTAAAATTGTAGCCATTTGTAAGTCCGTAACAATCCATGCGTACCAACAATGCTTTCATTCCCGGTCTCTCAATAATATGATCCAACACAACAAAGGCAGACTAACATGTTTTCTTGATCCATCACAGCTAGGTAAAATTTATCCGTTCACATGCGATCAACCATTCTTAAGCCCACAATAAGCATCATTCCATTTTGCATTTTGAAATAACAAGGAACCTACTCGTGTTCCTCAAAATCTCACAACACTATGATCAAAAGACATATACGGGAATTTTTCCTTACTTTTCAGACCCGAACAAGATTCCCAGTCTTTCATCTGCAACCATAATAAATATAACGTTAGGTAGAAATATAAATATGTATACAAAGTTCAGCGGGAAAGAAATCCATGAAAAAAAATCATAATAAAAGACAAATGCAAGAACATTCTTCTAAATGCTATATTCTATAGAAATAGCAGTATCAAAACAAAATAAAATGACCGTTTGTATGATAAGTGAACAAATCTTGTTCAAAATTATGAGTACTAAGTATGCAACACACAAGACTGCTAGCATCCATCACCCTGATAGAGTATTACCAGAAACCTCAAGATTCATAAGGTTAATTGCTTATGTTCTTGTAAAAAAGAAATGAATTCTGGTATTTTTCTATCTAGGTGGAAACCAAATTATTATAGGTAACCCTAAGACCTTTATCTCACCAGGGAAACTAACCATTCATCTTTTCCACTTAATACTATTACAATCAAGCTTATTCCAGAGAGAGTTATGATTCCAAGTCATAAAATTCATGTTCAAATCAGCAATAATAACTAAAACACAACCTAAATAATCTAAACCCAGCTTAATGTCCTTCAGTAAGAACTCAACTTTAGCTACATATGCATCCAAGTTAACTAGGTGATCAGGCAAATCCAGAAGCAATTAACAATATGGGATGATTTAATTGTTATCCAGATTTTTTATGTATACAAATCAAGATCTCAATTTTCCTTTGCCATATTAGAAGTCTAATAACAATAGAAACCTATAGAAATAGCATGTACAGAAGGATTTCCACCCTACAACTTCAGACAGCTCCAAGTACTTGACGAATCATTTGGCCCATAGAAGATATTGGTTATTGTTAGAGATGAATATAAAATCATTCATGTATCCTCACCTAAGAGCTTAAGCTTTTGGGAAAGTTGGTTCATGACATGGTATCCAAATCCTGACGAGAGAAAACCCTATTTCGTGCCAACCAAGGGCACCCGTTGCCCACAGGTGACAAATTTTCCAAAACCCATGTCTTCACTTCAGTTTCTCATCGTTGTCCTTCCGGCAGTCAGCACGTAGTTTTCTAACCACCGTCCATCCATTTTCCAACCACTATATGTCACCGACAACAACTATTCCAGCCGGCAACCCCTGAATTTGATGTGCGTCCTCCAACCTCCGATCACACCCACGCGTGCATTTTCTTGTCTATGGCCCCCCGTCCCTTCACTTATTCCGCCACATGTGGCAGCACGTGGAGTCCTATTTCAAGCCGTGTTTGGTATACGTGAGTTCATCCAAATATATTCCCGGATCCGCCCTATTTTGTACTCGCCGCCCCCTTCAAAGTCCATTTGGAAGGGTCCCAGTCTTTGTCTCGCATTGTTTATTGCATGTCCAGCATGCACAGACCCTTCTCTTATCTAATCTGGTCCCGTCCAGCCTTCTTCTCCACTGCCTCATGTGACCCATATCTGAATCTTCTCCCCTTGTCTCTTCTATGGATGTTTTGAATACTAAGGCTCCTCTCTACTGACAAGTTGGATGGTACTATTTATGACACCTAGGCTTCCGACATTAAACTTTAGCTTATTGGACAAAACTACATAGATCACCTCACCACCAATGTTGGCTTTGTGCCTGCCACTGAGCGTCCTAGATGGACTAAGATTGATGCAAAAATGTGCATCATCATCAAACCCACTATTCACATATCTTCGAAGTAGATCTTTCGAGCTAATGCCACTTGCGAGTCTATTTGACAATAGGCCAAGGTCTTTTACACTAGTGATACTTAGCACCTTTATGGGGTTTGTCATAACCTTACGATGTCATAGCGGCAGTTTGATGGCCATATGTCTACTTATTCGGGGAAGATTCATGAGACTTTCATGACTTCAATAAGCTCCTACCCCAGAGATACCTAGACAGGTACTTTAGCAGTGAAGTATGTTTTTCATGTGATTGGCCCTTTATGGTTTGCTTCCGGAGTATCCTGTCAATCGCGATTTGATTTTGAGCTCACCCATTATCCTAGCTTTGAACACTACTTGGTACTCCTTCTCTGAATCCCGTCCAAGCATCCTCTAAGCCTGACTTGCCTCTTTTTCCTTTAAGCTTTTGTCCATGAGTTCTCGTCGTGGCCATATGTCCAGCAAACCTTGTCCTCAATGCAACCACCCCGTTGATAATTGTTGGGATCTTCATGGCCACCCTCCTTGCATTGCCAACCTTGCCTAGGCATGTTTGTCACAACCTCCTATAATTGTTGATGCCTTCCTAAAATGGTTTAAGGTCCAAAAAGCCTACAATTCCACAGCCCTTTTCGTTGGTATGTCTCAGTGGCAATCCCTTGGTCCTTGGGTTCTTAAATCTAGTTCCATTAATCATATCTCTCATAATATGTCACTATTCACCTCCTTCTCTACATCTGGCTATTTGCTCACTATCACCTTAGCTAATGGCTCCCATATACAATCCGAAGGGATTGGCACCGTCCATCTCATTCCCTCCTTCTCTATTGAGAATGTGCTTTATGTTTGTGGTTCTCCCCTTTAATCTCCCTTTATTTCCATGGTTTTCATCTAAGTCTCACGCAAGTGGTCTAGAGTTTTCATCCTTCTACCCCCGTTCATATAATAAAAAATTGAATTTAGTACAAGGTAGGTGAACTAATCATTGTTCATACTTCAAACCCAAAAGACTATTGCGTGAAAGGGATTATCGGAGATATAATATAAAACCATTCATGTGTCTTCACCTAAAAGCTTAAGCTTTTTGGAGAGTTTGTTCATGACAGTTCTATAGATATTAAATAAAATGCATTGAAAGCTAACATTAAACGTACTACTAATGATTGAATTCAGATTTTAAATACAGACCATTATATTAAATTTTCTGTTTAGATGACATCAGTAGAAACAAAATCTGAAGATGATCTAACCCTATAACCTGATTCAGGTCTGCAACAATTAAGTTTCATATTAAGTAGCATACTAAACCTTATATGATTGTAATCAGCAGGGTAACATATAGAAAGTTCTATATTTGTTACATCATTCAGACCAAGAAAGAGAAGCAGAATACTTGCCTATGGGGCTTCAGATCAACAGCTGGCCTTCAGACATAATGCAGGTCGAAAGCTTTCTCTTCCACAGTGATACTAGCAACATACGAGAATCTTGAGCATCATGGAGGATCTTGATCCATGAGATTTCCGCACCTCGACCGATATAAAGAACGATAAACTTTGTGATGGTATGAGATACAATCATACAACACTACCAGACAGTTATTTCTCTCTTTCAAGATTAAAAAGGATATACAACTGATAATATCCCCCTTAAATCCTAGAGCCAGGCAGATACCTAAATCTCATCCTATCTTCATTCAATTTCCGGTCCACTTCAAATATTTAGTTTGTAAGAGCAATAGAAGACCTATGACACTACCATCTTGCCAAGCAAATACAACACTTTCATGAACTCAGCTTCATGAAAAATGATACTTTGTAATTGATATCAATCTCAGAATAGCATTTACCAATTTAGATCACCCAGGGTCTAGCTAAACAATTTTTTTTAGAGCAAGACTAAACAGTGAACTGAAATACTTCTAAATCTGTATCCACTCCATCCACATTCGTTGTACTTGTGGTTCTCCTCAATCAACAGTAACATGACAGAATGCAAGATTATCTCAATAGGGAAATACAAGTCCCTACACATTGTTACAAATTACAATGCAAATGCGCAATAAATAACGCCACTTCAAGATAAAGGCAACAACACACTTAAACCAGCCACCCTCCATGACAGCAAAAAGCAGTTTTTACCACCAGAAACTTAGCAATAAGGAACAAAGAATGCCTGAATATTCCCAAACTCGAATATCTTGTGCAGCGTGCAGGTATGTATATTGACTCCAAAAGTCAACCTTCAATGCATGCATCTTTTCCGGCGAATGAAACAAAATAAAGTCCACTCATCACTGAGATCTTGCAACTTAATCTCCAACAAATGGGCATCCTATATATTCATACACCCCAGAAGTTAAGAGCAACATAAGTCATTCACAAATTTGTATTCCCAATAATTTGTGCAGGATGCCTCCTTTACCAGTTGCAGGACTAAACTGGCCATTGCCAAATGAAACCCACCAGGCCACCAACATCACCAGCACTCCTGGTCTAAGTTTATCCAATCTTATGAATAGTTACAAACTTAAATCTATCATTCTAACCCTAAAGAAACAAAATGCAACTTCACATTCTGTTCACTTAAGTAAATCAGAAAGTATAACCTAAAATAAATTATGCTCCTCATTCCTCTGCGTGCGATGACTGCTCTGATAGCGTAATAACTATCCACTAGATAAGACTAATTCCAAAATCACACATTTATAACCTTGACATAAAATGCATTGAACAACACCACTCATTTACCATGTTGCTAGGACTTCAACCAGAAGCACAGACAGCAACAATTGAAACGAAATAACTATATGGAGTCTTCTAATAATGCTAGCCTGACCAACCCATAATATAGGAACTTCAGCCCACATGATTCAGCACATGGGAGTTACAAAATCTCAACTCGTAATGCTGCTTTCCAGCTCATAACCAATAGAGCAGTGTCTTAACCAGGAGAAAAACTTAAAGCAATAACCAACCAAGAAAAACAACAATAACAATATGAAACATGAAATGTATCAACAGAACATAGATAAATTGAAGAAATCTGTCATAATAAGTTTTAAACTTAGAGATACTGCAGCAATGTTTTCTCTGTGAAAACAGCAAAGCAACACTAAAACATATATATGCCAGTTTAGGGCTAACAACATACTAAACTTAGAGATAAAATGACCATTGATGCGGCATGCATACACAGAAGGAAATCAAACTCAATCTCAGCTATTCTGATAACAGAAAGCCTAAAGATGGCAAGCCTCATCACCAACAGCAATCACTTGAATGTCAACGACGATTTGGGCGAAGCTTCTCATGCCCTTTCCTTGAAGCAGCGCCTGCCCCATACAGAGGACCTTTCTCTGCCCCACCCTAAACAGAAGCATTTCAAAAGTAAATGAAAGCTTCAAAAATTGAGTGCAAAATCATAAATTTGTAAATTAAGGAAAGCACATACCAGGTGAACACCATATCCATCAGAATATGGAGCTGGAAAGCCTCCCTCTGGGCTACCAAACTTTGTTCCATAAGGCCCACCTACATAAATAAAGCAAACATGAAAAAAAAAATTGAACATGAGAACAAGAACAACATCTCTGTAAACTGGAATTATATGGGCCAGGCTGGCTTTCCAACAACGATTAATGATTTCAGTTTTTAGGCTCTGATGCAAGGATACTCCAAGATTGGTGGCGTATCCATATCATATCCGTATCCAATATCGATACTCATATGATACTGCTGCAACCATCATATTTGCATATCATGTCATATCGGATGCTCCGTACCTGCACCCATAATTCTTCTAACAACACATATTGCTATACATACACAGGGATGTATCTATTGAAAGATAACAAATTATGCTACTGACAACAAAACAAACAAGTCATACCAGCACCCCAATGTCTGCCATCAGCACTAGCAAGCTCAGCACGTAATTTCTCAACTTCCCGAGCCATGGAAACCAAGTTTTTCTCCATCGACTGCCTCTGTTCCATGAACTCTATGTTTGCCTTCTTTTCATAATCCACCATGGTTCTAGGAAAGAAAAATGTAATTATCATCAGCTTAAGCGAACAAATGCATAAATGCCTATCACAAAAGGGATTGAAAATATAAAATAGAAACCCCATTAGCAATTGAGCCACACACCTAGCACGCATTAGCTCTTGGTGCATGCCATCAATCTCACCCCTCAACAGAGGAATTTGTTGATTATCAGATTGTAACCTTGCAACATCTTGCGTGAGTGTCTGAACCTTCCCTGTAAGATCTTGTTTGAGATTATTCAGTTTCTGAACTTCAGCTCGCAGTTGTATAACCTCATTCTTTAAGGGCTCAGTTGCCCTGAGGTCAGACTCCAACTTCATGCCTTTCTCAATAAGCTCCCTTGAATGCAGCTCCTGTTCGGCACGAATATCACCTATGGCCAGATTCATGCGATGAAGCTCCTCCTTTGCAGCTGCAAGGTCTCGCTGCAATGCCATTCTGTCGTCAAGCAGCCTCCTGTTATCTTCCACTAGCCTCCGCAATTCCGCATGCTGTAATTCAAGTTCTTCTTCCAACAGAGCCGGATGAGGAGGAATCGGCGGGCGTGGCATGGGAGGCACGCGAGCATAAGGCCCTTCCGGTGGGTAACCCCTTCGGCCATTCATATGTTCTCTGTGAACACGGTGTCTTGCTGCCATTTCAAGTGACCTAAAAGGAAAAACACAGACACAGTTACAATTACAATCATGTTGATATTCTCACAAAGTGAGCATTAGCAATGAAACCATCACTGAGAATTTCGAAAGACCCAAATTGTTAGCATCATTAGCATACGAGGTTCCCGAAGCATGTATGACTGCCGAGTAACGAACACGAAATTTAGAATCGAAAACATCAAAGTTATTGTGTTGGTGACCTAACGTGATCACAAGACAAGACAGGTACACAAACACAATAAGAAAAAACTCAAAAAAAAAAAAAAATACAGAATAAAAAATGCAACAAAAATAAAAATAAAAAATCCATAAACAGATAATCTAAAATAAATATATGCTTGAGAACGAAACCGAAATCTACCACGATTTCATTGATAAAGGGGAAGAAAAAGGAATCAAAGTGAAGAGAAAAGCGAACCTTGAGAGAACCGAGAAATTGGTCTTCGAACAAACTCAACGCACAACGCAGAGAATAAAAGGATCGATGGAAGCCAATATCCCACTAACCCTCCCCAGTCCCCACAATTTGTTTACTCAAACGGCGTCGTAAAAGGATTATATATTCTTTTTTGTTATTGGGTCGTATAATGTTCACTCCATTTGGTTTTGAGTCCTGTACAACCTTTGCGGCCCAGGTTCATCCCAAATCAACATTTACCCAATTTATATACGGAGAGAGGTTATACTTACTACTTATTTTTTTTACTACTTGTTATTATCAAATATTAACCGTTGATTTCCGTCAATCTAACGGTTATAATTTATGGGGTCATATTTATTAATTAATTATTAATTTGTAATAAATTATAACCGTTAGATTGACAGAAATCAACGGTTAATATTTGGTAATAACAGGTAGTAAAAAAAAAATGTAGTAAGTATATCATTTCTCATTTATATAAGAGTTTTAAAATTTTCATGTTTTATGATATTAAATTGTTTCTTATATGGAAAAAGTATTTCTCCAGTCACCAGAGATAAAATTATCTCCAGTGAGCTCAAAACGAAGTCGTTTTGAGTTATAAAATTAAAAAATTATAATAATAAAGACTAATATAACCCTGCAATATATTAAAATTACAAAAATATCTTGATTTCCGCCTCAAAACGACGTCGTTTTGGGTTCACCGGAGATAACTTATCTCCATTGACTGGAGAAATCATTTACCCTTCATATATATATATATATATATATATATATATATATAGGGAATAACATCTATCATTTTAAAGGATATAAACTTATATCCTTTCAAATCATAACCGTTGATTTCCGTTCATCAACGGTTATAATTTATTGGATTAAAATTATTAATTAATTAATAATAAATTTGACTCATTAAGTTTGGCCCAATAGATTATAACCGTTGATGGACGGAAATCAATGGTTAGGATCTAAAAGGATATAAACATCTATCCTTTAAAAGGATAGATGTTTTTTCCATAAATATATATATATATATATATATATATATATATATATATATATATATATATATATATATATATAAGGGAAGGTTATACTTAAACCTATTTTCATTTACAACTTCTTACAATCATATCTTAACCGTTGATTTCCGTCAATCAACGGTTAAGATTTTCGTAAATCAAATTTATTAATTAATTATTTATTCACAATAAATGACAACCGTTGATTGGCGGAAATCAACGGTTAAGATATGGTTGTAAAAGGTTGTAAACGAAAATAGGTTGTAAGTATAACTTTCCTCATATATATATATAGAGGTTTGATTTTCTCATGTTGAATGAGAATTCAATTCTCATGTTGTAGAGATAAAAAACATGTGGAACCCGTGTGTTAGAAAAAATTATATGTAGGACCCATGTCAGCACGAAAATCGAAGGGTGTGTAGAAAAATTTGAATTCTCATGTTGAATGAGAATTATAAAACCCATATATATATATATATAAAGGAAAATAATTATCTCATGCAACAGAGACAAAGTAGTGGGGTTCACTATTTTTTTTATTTTTTTCTTTTTTTGAAAAAGTAACGGATCCCACTATCTTGTCTCTGTTGCATGAGATAAATAGATCCCATATAAAAATACGTGGAACCTAGTTTTTCTCCTTCTCTCTTATTCTAATATGGATTCATATGATTTTATATATTTTTATGTGTGTACGAGATAATTTTATCTCCTATAATATGATAAACTTTAAACAATTTATATAAACTATAATTTTATTCAAACTTTTCTTTATGCATGATTGAAAGGTGATTAGTTTAAGAAGCAAGATTTTGTATTTTGTTTTCCATTTATCTTTACACTGATCTCCTAATATGCTGTCAAGTATTTGAAAGTAGAAATTCATTACAAACAGAATTTTTTTTATTTAAGAAGCAAGTTGAGTTATGTTTGATTGGACCTGATCTTTTAGCCCAAATCCAATCATAGAACAAAGCCATCACACTTAAGTCTATCATTAAATATAGTAATTTTGGACGAGAACTGCTAGGGAAATTGTTTCGTTTATGGGATGAAGTACCTGTATGTGAGAACATCCCAGATTTTAACAGTAGTATCCAGTGAAGCTGTTATTATTATAGGAAGCTCAGGATGACCACACACGGCTGTAACACTTTTTCCATGTCCTTCAAGTGTTTGTACATAGTTTCTAGAATGATAATCCCATACCTGTTGAAATGTGGATTTAGGCCTTGATGGAAAATATCTCAAAGACCAAAGAGAAAGAAGACTGAGGAGTTATTGATATGCAAACCTTTGCAGTGTAATCATCAGAACCACTTAAAAGATATAGTTTGTCATTGCTAATAAAGTAATCAACACAACTGACTCCTTGCAAGTGTCCATACAAGGTAAATTTTGGAGTTGAATTATAGACATCCCAAATCTATAAAAAGGAGACAATTGAAGCAAAAGCTAGTTAATGAATTTAAGATGTGTAGTCATGAAGTTTGTAGCTAAGGGGCACTCATGATACATTCAAGGTGCCATCGTAGGATGCACTGGCAAATGTAGTAGCTCGATCCTTCGGGTTAAATGCCACTTGCATCACATAATGTGAGTGCCCTTCAACGGTCTTACACCAAGCCCAACAGTCCCTCCAAGTCCACAACTTTAGAGCTTTATCATCAGAAGCTGACACCACATATGGCAGAGAAGGATGCACAGCCAAACTCCTGATAAAATCATTATGTTCCTTAAATGCTCCCATCTTTCTCGCTTCGTCATAACTGTAGATGCGAATATATTTGTCATCACTTGCGGCGACAACCCAATTTTCGCGAGCAATGAACTTTGCCGATCTGACTGCAAGCATTGTCACCCAACAAACATAAGATAACTGAGTTAGGAAATAAGACACGAAGAAAAGTATAATTATACCAAAGAAGAAGGCAGAAATTTATAGTTAACACGAAGTGCTTCGTTGTGAAATTTACCTGGATAATCAGTGAATGTGAAAGACTTCTCTTCAGTCTGTAATAGTATCAAAACAAAGGTTAACAATAAACTCTGAAGTATTATCTCAAAATTCTACTACTAACCTCAAGAAAAGAGAGACATATACAGATGTTGAAAGATACAGAACAACTAACAGTTCTGTTGTTTCATAGATATGGTTTTCTTTCTTTCATTTTTTCTTTAATTGACTATGAATAACGCCAGTTTCTTCATACAAATTAATAGACATGGACATCGGGTGTCAGAAGGATATAGTTTATTTGTATGAGAAATTGTCCTTAAGTGCAGACTTCACATATGATTTTTTACCTTTGTCTGATAATTCCAAATAGAAACAGCTCCTGAATACAAACCCAGTAGAATCTTGCATGAGAAAAACACTAAATCTAAGTACTTGCACTACCAGCCAGTTGTAGAAAACATTCGTTTATGCAGGTGCATGAAGTCGGCTACAAAAGAAAAGCAGTGAGAGAATAAATGAGCTGTGCCACCAAAATTTTTCCAAATCCCATCCCACCATTACAATTTAAAATTCAAAATTGAAATCCAAAATTTGAAATCAATTCATAATTCGAATTTTTAAAAAGCTGAGCAATTCCAATGTATAAAGCATTTAAAAGAGCTTAGCAATTCCAATGTGAAAAGAAGTGTGACATTGAATGAGTTGTCTGCCACCACAAATGGTTAACTTAATTTTCTTTTAATTTTTATTTCGAAATTTAAACAAAATAATTATTTATTTAATTTAAAGATTTACCAAAAAAGGAAAGTTTTCATATCTCATATAGTGTGAACACAAATCTCTGACTTGAGGAGGGAGTGACACGTAAGCGGACTTTCCAATAAATGGGTTTCCTTTATATATATATATATATATATATATATATATATATATATATATATATAGATGAGAAAACAAACTCTTCCTATACACACCATAAAAAAGTGTGCCGCTTTTCTTCTTTTTTTAATAAGTGGGTCTCACACTTGATGTATATATGACATGAGATTAAGATTCTCCTATAACATAAGATTTATTTTTTCCATAAAATATTTGAGTTTGACCTAATATGTTAGTTTAGTGTAAGTTAAATTATAAATTTGATCTAACTTATATTAAAAAAATCAAAAGGTCTGTTAACTTATTTAAATCTATCAATTCTTTAATAGTTATTTAAGAATTAGGAAAAATAAATAAAATATTATTATTTTATTAATTAAAAATATTAAATATTTATTTTATTTTAATTAAAATACATTATATGATATAGATCAACATATGAGTTGGTAGGTCAAGCCTTATAAAAATAGGCTTATATCTGATTTTCTAATTTTTTTTTAAGGTTTAGGTATATTTTATTTTACCGAATACATTACGTGAAATCTAACCTAACATTATAGGACACGTGATTCATTACCCCCCCCCCCCCCCTCCCCCTAAGGTTATGTTTGGGAATTGGTTTTTGGAGGAGAAGGAAGGGAAGGGAAGGGTTTTATTAATCCCTTCCCTTGTTTGTGAATTTAAAAAATGGAGGAAGGGAACCGAGGATTTTTGCCAAATTCTCCAAAACCCATCTTATCCTTAAAATTAAAGTTCCTCCAATATGGGGGTTTACGGGAAAAAATATTTAAAATTACATATTTATCCTTAGCATTAAAATATAAAAATTACATAAATACGAATCATTTTTAAATGTGACATTATTACAAAAGTCTCAAATACTGACATAATTTATCAAAGAAAAATACTTCGTCGAAAATATTGACGAAATTTTTAACAAAAATCACATTACGTCGAAAATAGAGACGAAACAAGATTTGGCCATAATCACTAACATAAATTTTTTCGGAAAAAAATTCGGTTAAAATTCTTGATAGAATCTAAATTCCGTTGAAACTTTCAACATAAATATTTCCGTCAAACTTTTCAACGAAATATATTTTCGTCGAAAATTTTGGACAGAAAAAAATTCCGTCAAATTATTTTACAGGAAACATTTCCATCAAAATTTTCAACGGAACATAATTCCAGTGAAAATTTTTGACGAAAAATATTTACGCAAAAATATGTGACGAAAAATATTTTTGTAAAAAATTCTGATAGAAATTGTTTTTCCTTTATGGAATCTCAATTCCGTCAAAATATTTTCCTTAAATTATTTGACAAAAAAACATATTCGTTGAAATTTTCGACGAAGAATATTTCCCTCTAAATTTTTAACGAAACACATTACCTTTGAAAAAATTTCGTGAAAAATTATGGCGGAAAAAATTTTGTAAACAATTTTTAACGAAAAAAAAAAATTCGACTAAATTCTTTATAGAATCTAAATTCCGTCAAAAGTTTTCGACGAAAATATTTTTGTCATACTTTTTGACGAAATTTTTTTCTGTTTGACGAAACACATTTCCATCGAAAATATTTTCGATAAAAAAAATTTCTATCAAAATTTTCAACGAAATACATTTTTGACTGAAATTATTTCTATAAAAAAATTAGACGAAAAACAATTTTTATAAAAAAAATTGACGAAAAAATAATTTCGTCAAAATTCTTTACGGAATCTAAATTCCGTCGAAAGTTTCACGGAAACGTTTCCCTCTAAATTTCGATGAAAAGTATTCCAATGGAAAAATATTTTTTTGACGGAATTTTTGTCGTTTGCAACGTAGAATTTTCGTTGAAAATATTATCTTTTTTAGTAGTGTGAAAAATACATAAATAATTTTGTTTAGCAATTTTAAATTTAATTTAATCTTTAAAATATAATAATTACATTAATTTTAAAAAAGGGTAAAATTATAAAATATCTCATTGACCCTCCAATTTCTCCCTTACCTTTTTTTTAACTCCCAAACAAGGGAAGGGAATACCCTTCAATTATCTTCCCTTCCTTCCCTTCCCTTTCCCCTGAAACCCATTACTTTCCTTCCCCTCCAAACTTCGAAACAAAGCCTAAGACAATAATTAGGGGTGTGAAAAATAACCAAAAAATTGAATCAAACCATGAACCAAACCGAACCGCCCTTAAAATAATCGGTTTTTAAAAACCAGTTCATGAGAACCGATTTTTAAAGAACCAGTTCATGAACTGAACCGGTTTTAGAACCAGTTTAAGAACCGAACCATTTTGAACCGAACCAAACTGTTTCTGAACCGAACCGAACCGTTTTCAAACCGAACCAAATAGATTTTTTTAACTTCATTTTTTAAATTTTAAATTTTTTTCTTTTCAAAAGAGGTTCGACCCGAATCGGTTCCTAATCGGTTCCGAACCAAACCGAATCGTTTCCAACTGAACCTAACCACTTTTGAACCGAACCGAACCACTTCCAAACAGAACCATTTAAACCAATTCGGTTCGGTTTTTCAAAAAAACTGGTTCGATTCGACCCATGCACATCCCTAACAATAATCTTGTTGTATGTATATTATGACGTATTATGCTCAACTACATTTGAAGGGTCTCGTTACAAGAAAAATTGTTTACATTTATATGACTATTGAACCCATATTAAAGATAATTGTACATGAAAAACTGTTAGGTAGTCATCTTTTTAACCAAAATCTTTTATAGAATGATGTGTCATTTTCATTAACTATTAAATAGATGAGCATTTCCTACCTCTTTATTTCACCAAATAACTAAAATTGAATTAATTTGACTTTTATTAAATTTCAGACTTTTTTCTTTTTCTGTAGAATAATAAGTCTTACATCAAATTTTAACCGTTGATTTTTGTGTATCTAATGATTATGACTATTGGAAATTAATAACTAATTAAATAGTGTAACTCAATAAATTAAAATCGGTACATATATAGGGGTAAGATTAATTTATGCTAGTGTAAAAATCATAAGTCTTACACCAAATTTTAATTGTTAATTTCTGTATATCTAACAATTTTAATTTATTAAAAATTAATAAGTGTGACATAATAAATTACAACCGTAAAAATACAAAAATCAACAGTTAAAATTTAGTATAAAACTTATTATTCTTATGTCGCCATAAGTTAATCGTATATATATATATATATATATATATATATATATATATATATATATATATATATATATATAGGGGGGATAGATTATTTGACAATAGTGTCAAATTTAAAATTTGACACCTCATCTGCGAGCTGTTAGATTAAAAAAGATCAATAACTCTGATTTGTAAGCATGTGACACCATTGATCTTTTTAGATCTAACGACTCTCATATGAAGTGTTAAATTTTAAATTTGATACTGGTGTCAAAGGATCCTACCTTATATATATATATAATGTGAGTCGTTACCTTTTATAATTGAACTGGAAAAGATAAACTCGGTACTTCTTTTTCCTTTCTTTGTGTATTTTGTTATGTAAACCTCAATTAGATGTTGGTCGTGGCCTACAAACAAAAAAACTTTTTGTCTTTTATTCTTTATAACAAAAGCCTCATGCTTTTGTTGGGCTTCCTCCTTCAATGCTAAGCCCAAGCCCATTGAGGGATTTCCTAAAAACCCTAAACCCTAGATTTTATCTCCTCTATATATTCATTAGTTGTAGGTGGAATCAAGGTTAGAGAAAAATATTTGAGAGAAAATTATTTGAGAAATTTGTGTGCAAAGTTTTAAGCTTTGTATTTGAGATATCTCTAGAGAGAGTTTGAGTGAAACTTCTCTAGGGTAGTTTGATTATCACCATTGTTGGAGAGGTTGTGTTAACCACCACATTGGTGTATTTTGATTCTTTGTATCCATTATTTTCATAGTGGACGTTTGATTTGGACTAGGTCCCATGGGTTTTTACTTCTTTATTAGAGAAGGTTTTTCCACGTTAAAACTTTTTATGTTCTCCTTCTCTCTTTCTCTCCTGTTTGAGTTTTTTCGTTTTTTCACTGCTCTGCCCGACCTGGTGAAGTTCAGGCCGAGGTAATATTTCCGAGATCCAGATCTTGTTGACTGACTTTGGCAAAAGGCTTCTTAGTCGAGTTGAGGGAACCGAGTTCCAACAGTTGTATCAGAGCCCGGGTTCGACGGGTTCTGAGGGTGACGAGATGGAGACCAATGGCATAATCCATGATGGAGATATCTTCAAGCTGACCACAGATAATTTCACCTATTGGAGACCGATGATGGAAGATCATCTCTACTGCAAAGATTTACATGAGCCCATTGTCTTTGATATAAGACCGGCAGGAAAAATTGATAAGGAGTGGGAGATCCTGAGTCGTAAGGCAGTAGCTACAATCAGAAAATATATAGACAAAAGTCTCTTTGAGCACATGTCCGAGTTCACGAACGCATACAAGTTATGGACGAAGCTGGAGTCCATGATTCAGAAGAAGACTCCCAGGAACAAAGCATACCTGGTTCGCCGACTTGTGAAGCTGGAATACAAAGACGACATGAGTATGATTGAACACCTCAACACCTACAAAGGTATTGTTAATCAGCTGTCTAAAGCTGAGATGAAAATTGATGATGAGATGCAGGCTTTGCTGCTGTTGAGCTCGCTGCCAGAAAGTTGGGATACTCTGGTGGTGACTTTGAGTAATTCGGCTCCTGAAGGAAAATTAAAGATGGATGTCGTAACAAATAGTCTCCTGAATGAAGAATCCAGGAGAAGAGAACGAGGTGTTACGAGCACGTCTGAAGCCAACATTGCTGAGAACAGAGGAAAATTCGATTCCCGGGGTAGAAGCAAAAATCGGGGTCGAGGTCGTGACAGACGAGAAAAGTCCAGAGGTCAGTCAAAGCCGAAATATGAGTTGAAGTGCTTCTATTGTGGTAAGACAGGACATAAGAAGCCAGACTGCTGGACTTTGCAGAATGACGAGAAGAACGACTCTTTTAAGACAGATCAAATTATTCCCAAGAAGAGGGAAGACAAGAGCACCACTACGGTGGCTGCCAACTTGGATGCCGAGATATTCCTCCTAGGTGAGGATAATTATTTGAATGTTGCATATGATGACTGCACCTGGATTGTTGACTCTGGTGCCTCCTTCCACGTTACTTCTCTCAAAGATTTTTTCTCCTCTTATCGAGGTGGTGATTTTGGAGTCATGAAGATGGAAAATCAAGTGACCAGCAAAATTGTTGGTGTCAGTGATGTGACCCTGATTACGGATGTTGGGTGCCGACTTGTGTTGAAAGATGTAAGGTATGTTCCTGACATGCGATTAAACCTAATCTCGGTAGGCAAGCTTGATGATGCCGGGTTAGTGAACTATTTTGGTAGTGTTAGATGGAAACTGGCCAAGGGAAACTTGGTTGTTGCCCGAGGTAATAAGGAAGGCTCCTTGTACGTGATGCAAGGAAAGATCAATGGCAGAGAAGCCAATTCTGTCCGAGGTGGACCTAACTTGGAGCTATGGCACAAGC